TTGTGTAGCTCTGAGAAATAGTATATGCTCAGTGCATATGCCAACTCATCTGTAAAATGACAGCCAATGAGAAAATTGCCTACAACTGAAGTGGTTTATGAATATTAGCACCTATTATAACTATAACTGTATATTATTTGATTCTTCACTTCTTTTATAATGCATGTCTTTCTGATAAATTAAGGATTTTTAGATCATGAATTATATCTTTCTAAGTCAGGATCTCTCATTTTAAGCTTTGCTTAGCAGATATTTGAAGAGGAAAAAAAATTTTTTTAACTTATAATTTGTCTACCGTTTCCAAGAAATACCAATGGAGGTATTTATGTCTGAGGACAATGATCTGGGGACAGAATGAATAAATTTGACTGCTGTAAATATCTGTGCTCTATTCAAGTGCATTTGAGTTGATGGCATCTTTATCTGACTAAACTCTGCTGAGTCATTCTTTCTTGGGTGGAATGTTATTTTTAGAAATGGATCGTTATTCTCCCACCTTATCTGAGATTGTATCTTTCTAGCAGACATTAAGGGCAAATTGAAGATCTCTTCTGATGCATTATTCAGAAAATCAGAAACTGAAGTTGGTTTATATTAAATACAATTAAAATTAAATAGATGCAGTGTCTGTGGAGGCAAGTTTTTCTGCAGAGCAAAGATTTTCCCATTTTATCTTTCTGTATCATTTTAATGGTGAAAGCACCTGATTTTTAGTCAGAGTAGAAGATATTCATCTCCTTTAACTCTCAGTGTCAAGACATTCTTTTAACCCTCAGTGGTCCTTTATGTGATTCATGAAGTAATAAAATTTGAGATTCAAACTAAGGAATTTATTCTTTTCCCTTTTATTTTTCTAGATCATTTAGATAATATTTATATACTTGAATTTAAATGTTAAATTTTAGATTTTCTGATGAAACATTGAAGAAAGTGACTAATGCAGATTAAGCCAAGGGAAGGAGCTGAGCAAAGATAGTTTCAGGAGAAGTTTAGGATTTTGAAGAGCAAATTGCACTGGAGAATTGTCCCCATCTCACAGGCAAGGGGGCTGGGCTCTTGTACTTCCACATCCATCAGTCAGTGGCTAGAGGCCTCCAGCACCCTGCAGGGTTAAATATCCCTGTTGTAAGACCTTGCCTTTCTTGCTAGACCTCCTGGATTCCAATCAACTTCATCCCTATTTCTCCTCAGCCAATTACCAGCCACATGTAGCGCCATTGCACCAATATAATTTCAAACTCAAAAACAGCTTTCTCTGATCAGGGCCGTCTCCTGCCACTTCTTTTCCCTCTGTCTTTCTCCTAGCGATTCTGCCTTCACCTTCACAATGCCCTGAGTTGCCTCCTCCCTTTCGTCCTTCACATCTCTGTCCACTCTCCTCAGTATCATTTGCTGCCAGCTTTGACTGCCTGGCCAGCTATGACTTGCAAGCTCTCAATCTTCATTTGAAATACACTGCCCACCCCAGTTCTTTTGTACCAACTGTTTCCTCCAAATGGAGTACCAGTTTAATCTTCTTGGTCTGGCAAATCCCTACCTACCTTTGGAGAATTGTCTGAAGTGCATTTCATCTGTGAAGATTTCTTTCTTTCACTAAGCCAGAGTAAGGGACCTTAAGTGGGTGGGCATTTGCTGTTTGTGGGCTCCCCATCATCTGTTTTACCCTTCTCACCATCCCAATTTCCTTTTGTGGAATTAGGTTTCCCCCAATGGATACATTCTTATAGGAATGTAATGAGATGCCTTGTCTTCCCTACTAGACCCATCAGACTCATCAGGGAGCTGGAACAGAGAGAGGAAGGTCTTAAAAGGATTGGATCCTGGTCCACCCCAGTGGCAGCATTTGCCACTGTTTGCAAGGATGCTTTGATTCCTGATCAACCCCATTGAATCTGTGAATCTCCTAATGAGTTCCTTTAGCTTAAGTCAATCAGATTGGGTTTCTATGGCTTACAAACAAAGAAGGCTCCTGTATTCCCACAGTGCCTTCTTATGTAGAGCCTACCAGATGGCCTTGTAATTTTTGGTAAACATGTTTGTCTCTGCCAGGCTAAGATACAATGTTTAGCATTGTGTCTAACACATGGTAAGTATCAATTCATACCAATGAAATGAACAAGGGAATGTATGAATGGCAGAGAAGGAGTTGTCTCCAACTTCACTCTTTCTTCTTCTATCTGAAACAAGCAAGTGGGCCATTTTTCTTCTAAAGATTTGCTACTAGTCCTTATGAATGAGAGGATTCTGCATGAATTCCACAGTGACAAGTGACAGGAGTTAAGAAATAGACTTGATTAGAGAATTTTACAGTTGAAGTGTCAGCAGGAGGAGGCATAGATTCCTGTTTCGCCCATCATCTTAGAAAGGTGATCTGGATCTAGAGATTGATAGTTACTTGGAAGGTCCACCAACTACATGGTACTTTGAGTATAGCAATGAGAACACAGCCTTGTCAGAGGTGGGCTACTTGGGCATCTGGTTGCCTAGGAAATTCAGAGGTCCAGCATCTGGAAACCTTGGATGCCCGTGGGAAATCTCAGTCCTTCTTGCCTGTACAGGGTAGCCACTGATCTGATCAGAAGCTGAGTTTGGGTGNTTGATAGTTACTTGGAAGGTCCACCAACTACACGGTACTTTGAGTATAGCAATGAGAACACAGCCTTGTCAGAGGTGGGCTACTTGGGCATCTGGTTGCCTAGGAAATTCAGAGGTCCAGCATCTGGAAACCTTGGATGCCCGTGGGAAATCTCAGTCCTTCTTGCCTGTACAGGGTAGCCACTGATCTGATCAGAAGCTGAGTTTGGGTGCCTCCCTTCTTATAGGGAGAAGAGGCAGCTTGTTTTCCATGTGATACCAAGTTAGCATCAGTATTAGTTTGCCAGGGATACCATAACAAAATACTATAGGCAAAGTGGCTTAAGCAGCAGAAATGGATTTTCTCACAGTCCTGGAGGCTGGAAGTCCACAATCAAGGTATTAACGGGTTCATTTTAAGGCTTCTTTCCTTGGCTTATAGCGGGTCACCTTCTCACTGTGTCCTTACATCTTCTCTTTTCTATGCCAGCGGGCTGCTGATGTTTCTTCTGCTTAAACAGACACCCAGTCATACTGGATTAGGGCTCCACTCAAACAGCCTCCTTCAGTCACTTCCTTAAAGACCTTACCTCCAAATAAGGTTACATTCCGAGGTACTGGGGGATGAGACTTCAACGTACAAATTTTGGCAGTTACAATTCAGCCCACGACAGTCCCCAAATTAGATGGAGAATATTGATAATAAGACTGACAAAGTAATAAAATGTCTAGAACTGTCTACAGATTATACCTCTGACAAAGACTGAGGTACAAATTCGTCTAGTTGGAGCAAGTTCCACAATTGCTGCTGCCTTAAATACTGCTCTGGGGCACCCGCTCATCCTTTGTCCCTGAGGCTCATCCCCAGCACTCCTCAGTCACTGAAGAGCTCATATCAGGACAGAGCAACAGGCGTCCAGAGGACCCGAGAGTCATGAAAGTCCTTTACAGCAACTTCAGGATTGTCTCCTCAGATCCTCAAATCATTTCCTGACTGTACTTTACCCAAATTTGGAAATCATTAACCCACACAAAGAAAAAGTGTTGTCAAGATAACTTTACTGGTAATTAAGCCCTCTTATAGTACATGAAACTTGTATTTTAACAAGTTTTTGGAAAGCCCAAAATAAAGACACATGTAAACGTAAAAAAAAAAATGGTAAATCATTTCTCTCATATATATGGATGTAGAGACAACCTTTCAAAATTTATTCTCCCTCTTTGAAAGCATCTTAATAGGACCGATTGCCGTTCCAAACACAGATTAATATGTTTTTCCCATTATTTTTAATCATTAGTATAGATAACCTATAACTCAAAGCAGAAATTAGACACTAAATGTGTCTGGTGTTACTAAACTGATTGGATAACTTTAAGCATTCAAAATAATTGTAAACTGGATTGTAAATTGTAATTTTTTTTTTAATTTACAAAAGAAAGTGGGCAGTTCTGATACCTTGTTAGGAAGAAGAAAAACAAGAAACACTTAAAAAGTCTTTTGTGTTCTTGTTAATGAGGCATCAAATCCCAGAATGCCTCTCCTTTAAAATGGCTTCACATGTGGTTCACCTAATCAGAGGTTTCAGTGAGTGTCATAATGGACTTCAAGAGGCACTGTGATGCTATGGAATGATGTGTGTGTGTGTGTGTGTGTGTGTGTGTGTGTGTGTGTGTGTGTTTTGGGGTAGGGGCAGACTTTCCTTCTAAACAGCTTTCCCCATCTGTAAACTGGTGATATGCTTTGAAAATTGTGAAGTGTTATATAAATGTTTTAGAAGTATTATTATTGTAGCAGGTAAAACTATGTTTCTTATTTTCCTTAAATAATAAAAAATTTTACTCTGAGGTATCATCCCACAAGGCAAATTATTATTGATCCCCTCCTTGTGCCTTCTTCAAGGTCCTAGGTGTGTTCTGGCATACCTACCCTGCCCAATTATTCCTGACGCTCACCCCTAGCAGTTCTCAGTCAGACTCAAAAGGTTTTAGAAAGACTCTGGGGAGGATGAGGGGGCGCCTCTCCCCCAATCCTGAGTACACACTGGCCATGGTATCTTCTGCTTCAGATAAGAGATCTGAGCACTAAAAAGCCCGGTATCTAAGATCCAGATAGCAGGATACACCAAGCCACCCCTTCCCTCGGAGACCTTGCTTCCTGTCTTCTGCTTGCAGGACTTTGCACCCCTTTTTCAGACTGGGAACATCTCTCTCCTTCCTATCATCAGAAACATCCATCTCTCTCCTCCATCCTCCAAGACCCTTTCACTTTCGTAGACAGCTTCTACCATCTAGCCAAAGGTAGGGTGATCTTGAAATGCAGAGGCTAAAAAATAAGGAGAGTGAACCCCAAAATAATATGCCAGCACATCATTTTTAAAATGTAAAACACAAAATAATGTCATTTTTCCTTGTTTGTCCATTTACAGTAAAACCGCAAGCAAAGAACAATTCCACAGAGGAAGGAGACCAGCTTTTTAAGACGGGCATCAAGATCCTCCAGCAGTCTAAAAGCCAGAAACAAAAAGCAGAGTAAGTCCACCCGGCACTCCAGCCAAGTTCAGTTTCCAGGTTGAGAAAAGAGAGCAAGCCAAAATCTGATTTGTCATTAGAAGCTTAATGGTATAACAAATAAGCTTGTTTGCCTATAAACTTTTGTTTTTAAAAGGATCAAATGGTGTTTAAAGACTCCTACAAATTATCAGCCTAAACATGTGGATAGACCTTATGTGTGAAACCGCAGGCCCTACACATTAAGTGAAACGCAGAATAAAGGCACTGATCTGAGCATTCAAGCAAAAATATTGTTTTGGCTTTCATCGACTCAAGTGAAACAAAATATATACCATTTGAAAAAAATATGTATTATTTGACCTAGAGTTGTTGTTGTTTCAGAATGCCTTGTGCTGCCTAACAGCTTTTGCGCCTCACTTTATGGTTTTCAGAACACTTTCGTGTATGTCATGCCATTTTATCCCAGAACAGAATTACGAGTTAAGAAGAGTTTCATTTTTACCCCCTTTAAAACGCTGGGAACAGAGATTCCAGGATGGTAGTAGGTGGTGATGACAAATGCGCAGCTGGGAGACGACCAGGCCGTGGCCACGTGGTCTCACACCACATCTCCTGTTCCTTGTTTCACTTGTCTGCTCTGTCTAAATGGGAGGCAGAAGTATCTTTCCCCCCCTGTCCCCAAGATAGGGGCACAATCTGAAGTCCTATCAAGTCTCTAGTGACAACCTTGGAATTGAACTCTGACTCTACCATCTACTGGCTGTGGGACAGAGAAAGTTACTTAACCACTTAACGCAGTCTAGCTCTTAGAACCATGTCCGATACGCAGTAATAAGGAGATAAGTGTTTGTTATTTTTATTTCTAGTCCTCTAACTGGTAAATGGAAGCTGTGGAAGAGAAGAAGTCAAGTGTGTCTTGAACCTTAATAGAAGGAATAAACTCTGAACCTCCAACAAGGATGTTTCTTTTGTTTTCACGCAGATTAGGCATACCAGCCCTATGGGATACTTCCCAGAGTAGTGGTAGCCAACCCGAGGCAGGGCAGCTGCAGAGTCCATTAATTCTTTCCTAAAGCTCAAAGCCTTTGAGACAAGCTTAAGAGTGCAGAGGATAGGGTGGGGGGATTAAGTATGAACCTGGTTATCACAACATCACAACTTCCATTTTTCAAGCTCCTTCTTTGTGTGACTTGTTGTGGGATATTATTCTTAATTGTTCACAATGATATTGTAAAACATAAATTATTATCCCCAAATCATGGAGGAGGAAATAGAAGGTCAAAAAGGTTTTGATTTTTCCAAAGTGACAAGAAAAAGGAAGTAAGGGATTTGGTCCTCTCTCTAGGGAAAGCTAAATTAGAAGCACTTAATAAGAGCAAAATAAACCATCCTCAGCAAAAACTCAAGCCTCATGCTAAGTGTCCCTGGGGACTGTCATGATGAGGATGGAGTTAAACCAAGCCCCCAAAATACAATCCAGCCTTAGAGGGAAGTCAGCTCATTTGGGTGTCACTGAGAAGATGAGTAAGAACGACAGGGAATCCTGAATCCAGCCTAGCAGGATGAGAGAACAGTGGCGTTCTGGGAAGGGCTTGCCCCTGAGATTCAAATTAGCAGGTGAACCCAAGATGAGGGGCCCCATTAAGTCCAAGGAACTCCTAGATTCAGCCTGATAAGACAAAATCACTCTTAGAAGGTTCTGCCTAACCTTGATAGGTGCCTTCCTTTTTTGACTTAAAGGATGGGGAGAAAACCCAGCCCTTCGTTGCAGGGCCGTCCAGCAGTGCAGGAACCTTCCTGCCTACCGGGTATCACTCAATCTCAGGTTACTCTTTCCCGACCTATCCTGCCCCAGTCCTTGCCCAAGAATCCGAGAATAGCTTATGTTTGCAGCAGCACAGACATGTAAGAGGGTACATAAACCTGAGTCTGCTGACCCTCCTAGGCTGGCAGCAGTGGAGAACTGAAACCAAATTTCTTCATAACCAGAGACCCCAGCAGTTTCCCCAGATGTGTGAAACTCCTTCCGTGTTCAGGATTGTCTGCCTTCCACGTGAGCCAAATACAGCCAACTTCGCCATCTCTGATTCTGGTCAGGGAAAAGGCTATGCCCCCAGACCAAAGGGGAGTCATTTTGCTACTCTTCATCCTCTGCCCTGCCCGCTCCTTGCCTCACCACTTCTCACTGAGGGTAGCATAAGTCACAGGTGCTACTAGTCCTTTTGCCTCATCCACACTCACATCTTGGTCTATTTCATTTGTTCAGTCTCTTCGTATGTATGCGAGGAAAATTGTTGAACAAGCTAGTGCTTTTAGAAGTACAGATGTTAAATAAACATATGTCAGGGAAACACAAACTTGTCTGAAAGATCCGAGAAGCCTCTATGATATCCAAGGTTAACTGTCATTAAGACTTACTCATTAAAAAAAAAAAAAAAAGTCTTACTCATCAGTGAGGAAGGTTTGGAGATAAGCTTCTGATGTGTCCTAGAGATGCATGTAGCCTCCCCTTTCCCCAGTACCCACTCAAGCATCCAACACCAAATCCTCTAGAGACAATCCAGGCACCTAACTGAACTTTCTTTTGTGGACCTACCTCTCCTTCCCAGTTTCTCCTACTTTTTCCCTCTTGGGGATTGCAGTCCAGATCTTAATCCCACCTAATTTGCCACGACTTTTCTCCTACCCTGGGTCCAGCTTCTGGTATTCCATATATCAGCTTGGACTGCCCTGATAGGGGACAGATGTACCCCCCTCCTTCCTCAGACTCAAAGTCACCTAGAGGGATTGGTTTTGCAAATTTTTGCTGCCTTTTTGGACCAGAAAATACATGGACTCCTGGCCCCTGCAGCCCATCTCAAGTTTCTCTGCTCTGGACCATGTTGGTACCCTTCTAGTCCAACAGATTATGTTGTTGCAGCAATAAGGCATGTGACAGAAGAGCTTCTGGGAATCTGTACTTGGTACCATACCTGTCCCGTGATGCCAAACTCGTGCAGTCACTGTCCTTTGAAACCTTCTCTCTTATCATTAGCTTCTGGCCCCCAGAACTTCCACTTGATTTGACCACGGCTAATTTTTTGCTAGATCTCCTGGCTTCTTTTGGTTCCACTGGGACCTACTCTCTGTTTACCATCCAGGACCCTAATGCTTACCTGGATAGCTCTCACCCTTGGCCCTTCTGGCCTATTCTATTCGGCTCCAGCCTTTGACCATGAGCAACTTATTTTAGCAACAGCATGGGTAGGGGTATATAAAGCTGAGTCTCCTAATCCTTCTGAATTTGTAGCTATGGTAGATTTGTGTGTTTATTCCTGTATTTGAGTCAAGGTCACAGGCAGAGGTTAATGCTTTGTGATCTTACTGCTACCAAAGGGGAAGTGATAAGAATAAAAATAAATCCTCAAAGCACTCTCTGTCTCCAACACAAGTTTTGACCTTGCAAGCCTCTCCATCACTACTTGTTACACAGATCAGGTCTGGGTGACTTCTGACCAGGACTCATAAAATGTACTGCAAGGCAATCCTCTGGTATCTATATTTGTAATCACTAACTTTGTGTGATTTACCCACAAATTATAGGAGAACAATTACCATGCCATAAAACTTTATGCAATAGTCTTAATAATAATTATAGCTGAATTTATTGAGGGCTTACTCTATATCAGGCAGCATGCCAAGAACTTCACATGGATTATCTCATTGAATCTTCCCAGCAGCCCCATGAAGTAGATGCTGTTATTATCCAATTTTATAGATGACAGAGGCACAGAGAAGTTAAGTAACTTGCCTGAAGCTCTCAAACTAATTAATGGTAGATTTTAACCCAGTCAGTCAGACTCTAGAGTCCTAAAAATCATTATGGTTTTGTTTGGTTATTGTTTTTCCACAGAGTCTGGTTTTGTTGTGCTAAAGAATATACTCTGCTTCAGAAAATTATTTTGGAATGCGAAGGGACAGTTGTTCTTATGTAGTAACTTCTTAGGTGTGACATTGCAATTTTGATTTCTTAAAACTGATTTTAGTTATATTGTTCAGAGTTCATTTTATAAATCAAATACTCATAAGTAATGGGATTTACTGTGGGAAGGTTTACTCTTTTAGGACAAATGCCCTAGTTTTTCACTCCACTTGGTATACAAGCTTGAAGCATGGATGATATAGCTTAAATATTTTTCCTTTTCAGCAGCTTCATCATTTGTCAGATATATTTGAAATTATAGTCTTAGACTGACTTAGGGCTGAAAAAAATCTTCTGGTCTAGAGATGTAATGGACTATAGTTAAACTGTAGTGTTAGTAGCAATGTCAACTGGGTCCTTCTTGTTAGAAGCAGAATGAAGGAGGAGCAGAAATTTTCATTTTTGATACTCACACTTCTAACTTCATATTCTTGAAACAGAGCCTACATATTCTTTGCCAAAGCAGCTGACATGGGAAACTTGAAAGCTAAGGAGAAAATGGCTGATGCTTTGCTATTTGGAAATTTTGGCATGCAAAACATTACAGCAGCTATCCAATTATATGAGTCCTTGGCTAAGGAAGGATCATATAAAGCCCAAAACGTGAGTTTTGAGAGAAAATTGTATCTTGAATAGCTACCTCCTGAAATAACTAGACAAATCGCATGTGCGAGGAGTGGAGCCTCTGTCGCACAAGCCCAGGCCTGGAAGTTACTGCACTGCCCCCAGTGCTCCGCCAGGACCCAAGGCAGGGCCGGCGGGTCCTCCTAGCCCCCGTGACTCGCGCTCTAACCCCCTCCCCGTCTTCCACGTCCACGCGTGTGCTCTAAGATAACGCGAGAACTCCAAGCCCCTGACATGGTTAACTTTTATAAAAAATACTCTGTATTTACCTATGCAAACAAATATGGAACTAAAGGTATTTCTTTAGGATGATGTTTGCCTGGTTTTTACTTGGTTTAAGTATTTTACAAGCTACATAGATTTGCTTTTCTATTTTAATGTGTGTTTCATTTTATGGGGCTTTCTTGGTAGCTCAGCAGTAAGGAAACTGCCTGCAGTGGAGACACAGGTTTGATCCCTGGGTCAGGAAGAGCCTCTGGAGAAGGAAGTGGCAACCCACCCCAATATGCTTGGCCTGGGAAATCCCAGGGACAGAGGAGCTTGGTGGGCTACAGTCCACGGGGTCACAAAAGTAGGACAAGACTTAGTGACAAACCAACCAACCAACATTTCATTTTATTTCCAGAATAACATAAGCATTTCATAGAAAATCTGGAAAACAATGAAAACAAAGCCAAAAAAAAAGCCTCTCATAAGCCAACCGTCCTGACTCCACTACTTGTGTATTTCTCTTTGGCTTCTTCCTCTTTTTACAGCGTCATTATCACAGAGCAAGTGCATACATTGTTTTGTTTCTGGCTACCTGTACTTGGTGCAGTAGCAAAAGTATGTTTTCATGTTCTTGGTCTTCTTAATGAAAACATTTCTTTCTGATTACAGAAGAAATTTATGCTGCTTACAATTAAAAACAAAAAACAACCCTGTGAATTCAGAAAGTTTGAGGAAGGGAATAAAAATTACCTAAAAGCTTTCTTCCCAGAGACCATTTTTTTTCCATCCAGTACATGTACAAGCTAAGCTTTGGAATCAGACAGATTTAACTTCAAATCCACTCTACCACTTTCTACTTAACAAAATCCTTTCCCCCTCTGCGTGAGGATTTGACCTTTGGTTCGCCCTCTACTTCTGTTTCCCTGGTGATATGATAGGAATAAAATGTTCACTATGTTTCCAGGTAGTATTACTTGTCGTTGAAATGACCTCTGCTTGGTAAACTACCTTGGGAGAAATGCTCATGAACTATACGTACCAGATGATGTGGTGATTCTTGCAGCGACCCTGGGCAATGAGGACTGACTATGCCTACGGGGTTGTTATACAGGGAATGAGGCTTTCATGTCAGGGGGGCTGCCACACCACCCAGTGCAGATCTCATCTCCTTGAGCCTGGTCTGTCATCTGAGGGACTAAAGATGAGGGCTGCTGGAGGGCTGTGTGACCAGCCTGAAGCACTCCTACACAAAGGAGGCTGATGCCGCCCTCTGGCAGACTCTGGTTCCTATGCTACGTCCGCCTGAGCAGACTGACAGGTGTAGCCTCTTGTGAGTCTATACGTTCATTTGAACCAGAAGTTGGACCAGAGGAACTCTGATGGGTGGGGCAACCTCCCTAATTTCCATCTGTAGAGTTAGGATAATGATAAAACTCTGGGTACTGTGTTTATTTGGTTCACTACTGTATCTCTCGGAGAAGGCATTGGCACCCCACTCCAGTACTCTTGCCTGGAAAAATCCCATGGATTGAGGAGCCTGGTAGGCTGTGGTCCATGGGGTCGCTAAGAGTCAGACATGACTGAGCGACTTCACTTTCACTTTACTTTCATGCGTTGGAGATGGACATGGCAACCCACTCCAGTGTTCTTGCCTGGAGAATCCCAGGGACGGGGAGCCTGGTGGGCTGCCGTCTATGGGGTCGCACAGAGTTGGACACGACTGAAGTGACTTAGCAGCAGCAGCAACTGTATCTCTAAAAATACAGTGCAGTGCCTGGGGCAAAAAAAATATAGCTGAATAGTGAATTAATTCATGATGAGTGAATTAACAAAGTTGTGAGGATTAAAATGATGTGTGAAGGCACTTAATTCCATACCTGGAACTTTATTATCATTCACCAGAAAAAAATACATAAATATTATTATTACTCTCACTATTATCCTTCTAGAATTTTTTCTATAACTTTGTAGAATGTTTCTTTACAAAAATGGGACATACTTTAATTACTGTTCCCTAATCAGCTCTTGATTCACTTAATAATATATCATATTGAGTTGGCCAAAAAGTTCATTTCGGTTTTTCCGTAAGCTCTTATGAACAGACTTTTTGGCCAACCCAAATAGATCTCTTTCCCTGTGAATAGATCCCATATTTGATTAATCAAAAATATAAAGTTCCAAAAAAACCCCAAATGTTATCATCATGTCCACCACTACAAATAATATTACCTAATACCTAGGTAATGAACTGGTGGACATGTGCTTTCTCAGTGGATGTATTAATTAAGTCAACAATTGTTTCTTGGACACTTACTATGCACCACACAAAATCTTGTTGATCAGAAGAAAAAATTAATAGATCAAAGTCCTTATGGGCCAATCTTAAATATAAACAAATAATTGCAGCACAGTTTAGGTGGGCTAGGGTTAAGGTATAAAGTGCTTTAGGCACAGAAAAGTGTCTGACTGGCTTTGCCTGGGGCAGGTAGAAAAGGCTTCAAGGATGAATGGAAAATTTACACTCAGTCTATTATACTGGATATGGGCAACATGAAGGATTTGTCTGTACTTGAATGACATATTTGATGCAAGGTCAAAACACTACTCCCAGAAAAGAAATCCCAAATTAACATATCAGGTACATTAAACATATGGACTGAGAGCTAACATCAGAGTTTTACTCCACATGCTCTATGGTTCTGTGGCATGGACCACAGACAAGGAGGGCAAGAAAACAAAATGTGGATGAGGACAAATGCTTCACCTGAAAGGCCACCATTAACCTGATATACAAAATTTAGCCACACTGTTTGTTGAAGTGCTGTGATACTGATTGGAAAAAGTCTCTGCCCCAAGCTCTTATGCTATCCCTGACAACCTGAACACCCTTATTCTTCTCTCAGACTCCCCTTCCTCACTTTCGCTCCCCATGATATTGAACCAAAGTGTTATCCAGGTGGGCAGGGAGCCTAGAGGACCCTGGTCCAGTGCTACAGCTGGATTCTATTCTAATGGATGCTGGATTCTATTCTGAAATTTTAACTATTATCCCAGTCATCGCTACAGAAAAATCTATTTCCAACAGCAAATCCTTGTGCAGTTGATTTATCTCCTTGTACAAAGAACAGTTAAAAATATTCTGTGGTACAAACATTGCTTTGTTTGATGGCTGGTTTCTGGGACCAGGCTGGCCACATGCCATATTGATCACAGTTCTCTAACAGGACCAGCCGGTTGACCACCTTTCCTCTCAAGCTGTCTGTGCCAGGTTGATATAGGAAATGTTGCTGGGAACTGTGAGGACAATGTAGCAACAGAAATGTGGCTAAAGAAGCTGAATTGTATACTGAGAATGACAATGAAAGCGAGTGAGAGGGATAGATGTAAAGATAGAGAAAATGAAGACACCCATCTCTGGGGAAGAGGTCAAGGGCAGTTGGAAATACGGAAGTGTAATAGATGGTAGAAGCCAGGGCACCAGAGGGCTCGTGGAGCCCTAATTCAACAAAGAAAACAAGAGGGATATGAATTCAGATTATAAAGTGGCATTGACGGGGTAGGGGGAGAAATGCAGTTTCCGGCTATGTATAAAAGGGAAGCTGATGGAGGGAAAGAGGCATAATCATTTCTTTTCAGGCACCTTGAATGGTTCATCTGACAAAAAATCCAAATAAACTGAAAGAAATCCCAATAAGGGCAATAAAAGCAACTAAGATTGTGAACAGAGTTAGTTGAATTGATTTTCAAGAAAACTGTAGCTTCTGAATAAAACTATTCATGAATTAGTCTTCATGAAAATGATGAAAACTGAAGAAAGTACAAGAAAAAATAAAAATAGAAGATATAAGATATTACACTATACCAGCTAGAGATAGATAAGTTTTATATTTTTTATTTCTCTGATTCTCATTTAGGGAAGCAGAAATTCAGAATTAGGAAGGCTCACTCTTTTTTTTAATATTGATGAACTGTTTCAATATGAAACTTTGTTAATTTGCCAAACAAGAAGGTAGGGTCTAAACCTCATTTGCTTTAAGAATCAAGAAATTGCTCATTCACATTGTATCACCTTAAAATTGAATCATGGTAATGACTATTAGCACTGTGCTACAACTGGAAAAAAAATCATTTTAGTATCAAAATAATCATTTTGATAATTCTAGGATTACCTGTGTAGAGCATTTCTTTTTGATGTAAATCATCTTTTTGTATTAAGAATACAAAAAGGAACTGAGTTTTTCATCCGGGTTGATTCACATTTTTGTTTGGCTTGCAATTTAAGCTAAAAAGAATGACCACAGATGCTTTCAAGATTCATAAAATAATTACAATAATTAAATGCTTGATCTTTTTTCTCTTTTGATTTCTTATATAGAAAGTAAAAGGAGGAATATTTAATTTTTAAACTGTTATTATGGAACCTGAGTAATTTACTTTGAAATTGATTAAAATATCCTCTACACTTAACTCTTTTAATTTAAATCCCAGATACTATAACACAGCACAGTGGTTGAATTCGGAGTCTTATAAACACATCTAATTTGCAGAGTTTGACCTTTTAAAACTACCATTGATGTCATCACTATAGCATAGCTTCTCTTCAACTTACAACAATTTTTTTTTTTCTGGGTTAAGATTTAATCATTCTATAGTCCATCTCATTTCACCTCAGCCTTATCTCAGAAAAGACCGAAGACAAAAAACTTATTACTGTAAAGTTGTTAGGTGACCGTGCCAAGCTGTAAAGAAATAGGACAACCCTGACTGTA